TACTACTACTACTACTACTACTACTACTACTACTACTTACTACTACTACTACTACTACTACTACTACTACTACTACTACTACTACTACTACTACTACTACTACTACTACTACTACTACTACTACTACTACTACTGCTACTACTACTACTACTACTACTACTACTACTACTACTACTGCTGCTGCTGCTGCTGCTGCTGCTGCTGCTGCTGCTGCTACTACTACTACCACTACCACTACTACTACCACCGCCACCACCACTACTACTACTACTACTACTACTACTACTACTACTACTCCTACTACGCACGTTACGAACACTACGAACAAGACGGAGTAGTAAGACGAAGGATACGAAGGCGAACCATACTTCTACGACTACTTTGACTGTTATGACTCCACATAGGCATTCGCATAAGCAGAAGCTGACGCATACTACTACTACTACTACTACTACTACTACTACTACTACTACTACTACTATTACGACTACGACTACTACTACTACTACTACTACTACTACGACTACTACTACTACTACTACTACTACTACTACTACTACTACGGACGCTACGGCGAATACGAAGCAGACGCCGACTACGACGAAGACCGCGACGATGAGCCATACTACAACTAATACTTCGAACACTCATACGACTGAGAAGACACATCATACGAATACTCAGAAGACGGCTACACCGAATACTGCTACTAAGAATATTAACACGAATACGAATGCGACTCACGATAATAAGAATACTAATATGCAGCCGCATACGAAGAACACGAAGGCGATGCCGACGACTCCGAATGACATTACGAATCACGATAACACGGCGGCTACTACGAGTAGCAATGTGATTAATACTAGTCCTAATGACAGTCACATGGAATACAACACTATGGCTACAACTAAGACGAATCCACCCACTACGAATCCGAATGCTACGAATCCGGCTAAGGCTAATACTGATAAGAAGAAGACTAATCATTCTACTACACATAAGATTAGTACCACGACGAATACGAGTAATACTAAGCACCTGCTAATACGAATACTGCGAATACTATCTCGAATGCCAATACGAACAGTACCAACACTACGACGAGGAGGATGAGGATGAGGATGAGGATGCTGATGAGGAGGGGGAACATGAGGAGCAGGCGCAGGAGGAGGATGAGGATGAGGAGGAGGTTGAGGAGGAGGAGGAGGCGGAGGAGGAGGAGGAGGAGGAGGAGGAGGGAGGAGGAGGTGGGGAGGAGAAACAGGAGGAGGCAGAGGAGGAGGCGGAGGAGGAGGAGGAAGAGGAGGAGGAGGAGGGGAGGGAGGACGAGTAGGAGGAGGAGGAGGAGAAGGAGGAGGAGGAGGAGGAGGAGGAGGAGGAGGAGGAGGAGGAGGAGTGTGCGGTGGAGGAGGGGTGGGAGGAGGATGACGAGGATGATGAGGAGGAGGCGGAGGAGGAGGAGGATGAGGAGGAGGAGGCGGAGGCGGAGGCGGAGTCGGAAGCGGAGGCGGAGGAGGAGGAGGAGGAGAAGGAGGAGGCGGAGGAGGAGGAGGGGGAGGCGGATGAGAACGATGCTGATGGTGATGCTGCTGCTGCTGATGATGCTGATGATGATGATGATGATGATGATGATGATGCTGATGATGCTGCTGCTAATGATGATGATGATGAGGATGATGATGCTGATGATGATGATGATGCTGATGCTGATGGTGGTGGCTGTGGTGGTGATGATGATGATTATGATTATGCTGATGATGATTGTGATGATGATGCTTATGATGATGACGATGCTGACGATGATGCTGACGACGATGATGATGCTGATGCTGATGATGATGCTGATGATGATGATGCTGTTGTTGATGATGATGCTGACGATGATGATGATGATGATGATGATGATGATGATGATGATGATGATGATGATGATGATGATGCTGATGATGATGATGATGATGATGCTGATGATGATGATGATGATGATGATGATGAATGTGATGATGGTGATGATGATGATGCCGATGCTAATGATGATGATGCTGATGATGATGGTGATGACGATGATGACGATGGCGATGATGATGATGATGATGATGATGATGATGATGATGATGATGATGATGATGATGATGATGATGATGATGATGATGATGATGATGATGAGCAGGAGGAGGAGGAGGAGGAGGAGGAGGAGGAGGAGGAGGAGGAGGAGGAGGACGATGATGAGGACGCTTGGAGGGCTCTTGGGCCCTTTCGGAGGCTTCTTGTGGGCCTTTTGGGCAGTCTAAGGCCATCTTGAGTCCATCTTGAGGCCATCTGGTGCCGTCTTGGGTGCATCTTGGGGCCATCTTCGCTATCTTGGAGGTCTTCTTGGCCGTCTTGGAGGCATCTTTGAGGCCATCTTGGCCGTCTTGGAGGCCATCTTCGGCGTCTTCGGGGCCATCTTGGGCCGTCTTGGGCTCTTCTGGGGGCCCTCTTGGGGGCCTCTTGGGCTGTCATGGGGCCATCTTGGAGGCCTCTTGGGCGCTCTTGGGACGATGTTGGGGGCCTCTTGGGCCGTCCTGGGCCGTTGGAGAGGTGATAAGAAGAATATGCCAACATCTTTCAAACACCTAAGGACAATCAATGATTTTTGCCCTTGCGGGCCTTCCTGGAGGACGTCTTGGAGGCCTCTTGGGGGCCTCTTGGCCAGTCTTAGGTCATCTTGGAGCCATCTTGGGCCATCTTGGAGGCTTCTTGGACGAACTTGAAGGCGTCTTGGAAGCCATCTTGGACCATCTTTGGCGACTTGGAGGCCATCTTGGAGGCCATCTTGGGTTCACGTGACCATCTCAGAGGCTATCGTGAGCCGTCTTGGATAATTTTTTGGGGGCGTTGGGGTGGGTTATGCTGCCTTGTGCGGCCTTGCGGGTGGCCGGCGGGACGGGCCGAAGCCCCAGGGAGTTTTTCGAAAAGAACCAAACTCGAAAGGGCCTAGTACGCCGAGCACCCCTGTGGCAAGCCAACAGGGGGCGGCGGATCTGACGGCCCTCGGCCCATCTCGCCACCGTGCCTGAGTTACTTATGCGTCGTGGGGAGGGGCGCTCTCGACTGGGCGTCGGCCGCGCACGTTGGGGATCCTGGGATCGCCGATCGAGGATCCGGACTTCTTGCATCTTTCCGCCCCATTGGGGTATCTGGAGGCATCTCCTGGCCCGTAGTTTTGAGTTTTTCCCTCAACAGTGCTTGCACTTAGGGGTTTTAAGAAACTGGCCTTGAATGGCGGTCTGGCGGCTGTGTTGTCGCCGTCGCCGCCTCGTCGCCGCCCGTCGTCTGGCCCTGAAATGGCGGCTATGTTGTCGCCGCCGCCGCCCCGTCGCCGCCTCGCCGCCGCCCGTCGTTTGGGCCTGAATGGCGGTCTGGCGGCTATGTTGCTTCCGTCGCCGCCCCGTCGCCGCCTCGCCGTCGCCCGTCGTCTGGGCCCGAATGTCGATCTGGTGATGTTACACAGCATAGATTCTCCTTTTAAAATTCATGTTGGAATCTACCACCCCCAGATTTCCCAGGTCACCGTTTCGTGTTGTTTCCGCATCTGTTTCTGCACACTCGTCCATCTTCAATATGATTTCGTACCTTCGCAGGCAGTCCCTAATCGCCCCTCGTCCCCAGGAGATAATACTGTGCGCGCGCACTTGTGTATCAACAATCACCAATGTACATGACTCCGTTGCTAAAAAACAGAACGATGCGCACACGCGCGCGTCGTCGCGCGCATGCCGAAATCCTGCAACCCTTTAGATTTCGTAGGAATGTCAAAATCGAGTACCCCGGAAACATATCAAACACACGGTTTTGCAACGACACTGTTCAGAAAGGTTTGAGCGCTTTTCTGACTTCTTAAGTCAGCCATCGGCTTTACAACATGTGCATCACGTTCGACCAGCGCGGCCTCCCGCGCCGCATGTCGACATCATTCGAACACCCTTGCGCGCGTGCTGGGGGGGGGGGGGGGCACGGTCCCTGTCAAAGAATACTATGCGGGCCATTCGCGCGCGTCGGCCACGCGCGCATGTCGAACCTCTGCCAAAACATGCATCGTCGACGCGAGGACCCCATCATCGTCATCGGCATGAGCAGTACTGGTGCCGTCGTTGGTCTTGCCGTCGTCATCGTCATCATCGCCACCACCGTCGCAACCATCATCATCGTGGCTACCGTTTTCACGTCGCCATGATACCGCGCCCGCCCGAGTCACCGATTCGCACTGAGGAGCTCGCTAGGATGTGCCCAGCGGTCAGCGCCACCGCGGCCGCGTCGGTCGCACCCAACTAGTTAGCCTCTGTGCGTGGGAGCGTGCGCGGGCTGGCAGCGGAAATGCACCAGCAACGCCAAGTTTTCATCGCAATCGTCGCCGCACGGGTTTTACAAGCCAAGTTGCGTGTGGGTGGGTGGGGTGACCCGCGAGCAGTAGAATTGTCAACTCCAGTTTTTTTGAATAATAATTGATGTATATATATATATATATATGGACAGTTTTCACAACATTATGCAGAGCCCTGAGGTGAGAGTGCCGCACTTCCCGAATGCCAGCCCGTGCTCTCCGTTGGCATCTGTGCTCAAGTGCACGAGTGAGGCCGCTCGATGAGTTTTGGCGCGTGGCTTGCGCAGGAGTCTCTGCACACCGTATCGCAGGGGGCGCTCCTTTGGGCTGCGAGGGCAGAGTGCCCGCCGTGCACCTGCAAGCCTTCCTTGGTGTGCGGCGCAGGCCAGGAGGCCCAGCGGCTGGATTGTCCAGCGTCGGCGGGGGCCTGGCCGTTGTCGGCCGTGCTGCTGGCCCTGGTCTTGGGGCTCGGGGCATGCGCGGCCCTGGGACGACTGCTCGTGCCGCCAGTGCCGATCCAGACGACCGGCCGCCTTGACAAGCTCGAGGAGGAGGCCCGTGCTCAAGTCGCCCTTGTGAGGGCTCGACTGCAGAGCCAGTGGCGCGATGTCCGCAGCGGCCGCGGCCGCCGCAGGCCATCCCCTCGCGGCTCGTGGGCTTGACGAGGGCGGCTTCGTGCTGATCAAGTATCAGGTGGGAGGAGCTCGGATCTGGCACGAGCGCCTCCTCTTGGCGTTCCAGGCCACTCCCCCGTTTGGCACGGGCACCCTGACGCCCGACGGTCACGGTTACGTCGAGGCCATCACCACCGGCGGCATCGACGTGGCGGACTTCTGTGTCCCCGCGGGCGGAGCGGCAGGGGGCGCCTCGGCAGCGACAGGTGGCGATCAGGTGTACCGCTTTCGGGCGTTGCCGCTGCCTGCCGCCGTGGCGGACGCCGCCAGCTCCACCCGAGCGGCGCTTGGCCTAGCCCCAGGCCCTCCCGTGGCCCTGAACACCGCCGGTTGCCTCATCGGCGCCGCCGTCGCGGCAGCGGCTGTTCCCGCCGGAGGGGGCGGTGCTGGCGGCCCAGCGGCTGGAGGCCTGGCGGGACTCGCGGCAGCGCTCGGAGGAGGGGCCCCTGGGGCCGGAGAGGCCGCTGCCGGTGGAGGTGCCGCCGGCGCCTCCGTGCTCGTCGCCGCGCCCGCGGCGGCCTTGCCTGGAGGCGCCTTGGGGCCGACGGCCGTGGCACCAGCGGCTGGGGCCCCTCAGGCAGCGGCCCCTGCTGTTGGCGCAGCCGCCGCCGCCGCCCCGCCTGCCGCCCTTGCTGGAGCGCCCGAGGCTCCTTTCTGGGGCGCGGGCGGCCTGGCGAACGCTCTCGCATCCGTCGCGGCAGCCCCAGGCGGGGACGCGAGGATGCAAGCAGTCACCCTGGACCCGCAGGGCGTTCGCTACATCGACTTCAGGGCGGCGGTGCTGCGCATGCACGAGCTGCCGTGGGTCGATTGGCCGCTCAAGGGGCCTCGCGCTCTGCTGTGGGTGCTGAGTTACATCAGCCGCAATGGAGGAACGCCCCTCGGACGACATCTGAAGTGGAAGGCCGAGGCATACCTCGACGAGGAGGATCCCGGGGTGGACGTGCACCTCCTGTGCTGCAGGTTGCTCGAGTACGGCGTGGTCTACGATCAAGTTCACGCGACGAACCTGGCCTCCATGGAGCTGGTCGGGCGCGCTCTTCAGACCCAGGAGGAGCTCTACCGTGACAGGTTTGCGCCGTGGTCTGAGCACGGCAATGACGCTGCCTTGCTGTCTGGCGTCCAGGGCGCGGGCGGCAGCATCTGCATGGCCCCGGCGCTGCGCGACTGGCTGGCGGCCGAGAAGTCTCGTGAGGCGGCCATCGCCAAGGAAAGGCGTAAAGCTCGGGAGGAGCGTGCGCTGGCAGCTGGGACTGGCTCCGCGGGTTCGGGCGGCGCCGACTGGCGCGGCGGCCGCGGCAGTGGCGGCCGAGGCCGCGGGCGACGAGGCCGCGGGGGCGGCGGCGCCCCAGGCGGGGATGCCTGAGACGATCCAGGGGGGGGGCATCTGGGCCAGCCTCTCCCTGGGGCAGCAGTGCGGTTCAGACCGCAGGCCCCCGGCCGCTTGGGACCTGTCGCCAGCGCGACGTCTTCCCGCTGCCGGTCTCGCAGGCTGCAGCTCCGCGTGGGGTGGAGTCTGTCGGCCGCCGCTCAGCTCGGCGCCGTGGTTTTCGCGCGCATCGTGAAGATCGCGTGCGGGCCGCCACTAATGCACTGAATTCACTTTATGGCTTCGAGTCCTCGCCCCTTGCTCCGGCGCACCAGGGGCAGCGCCAAGCCATCCAGCACATCGAGAGCAGCATCAGGGAGTTGGGCGCACCGCCGCCCGAGTTCACCGACGTTCGTGCTGCTCAAGACGGAGCCCTACGAGAGCTCCTCTCCTGCGCCAACCTGTGCGGGTCTGGCGCCGCCTCGCCATCTCCCTACGTCAGTGACCGTGTCGCATGGCCCGCTGGTAGTGCTGCGCCCGTCGACCTGATCGACCTCATGCAGCCCCAGGACAGGGCGTGGCTGGAGGGATGGCGGAGCCATATGCTCCGAGATCAGCGCGCCGCCGAGGCCCTGGCGCAGTCGGCCTGCCCGCGCGGGCCCTACTGCGACCCGGGCCTTGTTCGTGGCGAGAGTATCTACGGCCAGTTCTTGATGCAGATGTACCAGAGGCAGATGGTCACTTTCGCGGCAGATAATGGCATGCCGCACTCCGTCGGCCTCTTTTTCGCCCCCAAGAAGTCGGGGGCCCTCAGGATCATCTTCGATACGAGGGCCGCCAACTGCAAGTTTTTTTATTCACCTGCTACTGGGCTTCCTTCGGCCGCTTCTTTCAGCTCTATCGAGGCCCCCGTCGACGGCATGTTCATCTCAACGTGCGACCTGGAGTGCGCATTCTACCGCATGCGGCTTCCTTGCGGGACGGAGTCGATGTTTACCCTACCCTCGATCTCAGTCGCCATGCTGCAGGAGATGGGCTTAATCGACCTTGATTTCGACCCGTCCACGCGCGTGACGCCCATGGTGACTGTCCCCCCGATGGGGTTCTCGTGGGCCCTGCACTTCTGCCAGTCAGTTGCGCGCGCAGTCCTAGCTGCTACCGGCCATGAGAGGGCCATGACCGCCCTAGATGGCCAGCCGGGCGTGGTGGTCACGGACCCCGTGTCGGTTGGCGTCGGCGCCTACGTCGACAGCATCCTCGCGTTCGAGGCTGACAATGGCGCGGTCGACCAGGTCATGGGACAGCTCGTGGCCGCCTTTCGCGCCCGAGGGCTGCCAGTGCACGAGATCGAGCCCGCGGGGCGCGGAGTTCTTGGGCCTCAGCCTGAAGCACGGGAGGTACTTGCGCATCAAGCCGCGCAACATCTGGCGGCTGCACGCCGCGATCTCAGGGCTCCTTCGTCGGGGCTGGCGCAGTGACCTCATGATGCGAGCTGTGTTGGGGCGCGTCGCATGGTCATCGATGATGCGCCGCGAAGCCCTCGCAGTGCCTCACAGCGTCTACAGCTTCGTGGCGGCGCACGGCGAGAGACAGGGCAGGTTATGGACCTCAGCGGCGAAGGAGCTGATCACCATTCGGGATTTGCTGCCCCTCCTGTCCTGCGACCTCGCCTCCGTCTGGCGCCGCGCGATGACTGCTAGCGATGCTTCGCCTTTCGGGCTCGGGGTGATGCGGCGCCGCGCGCCTCGCGCCGTCTGTGCCGCCATGGGCCGTTGCTCAGAGAGGTGGAGGTTTAAAGTTGAGGGCGGGCACCAGGCGCGCATTCGTTCGCTGCGAGAGGTTGGTCTAGACCAGCCCCGACCTGTGCCAGAAAATGTTGACGTTGCTAACGGGCGCTCTACCTCGGCGCGCCTGGAGCCAGACGTCCAGCATGACAGCCCCTCGGGCCTCCATGCAAGTTCGCCTCTTTCGGATGCATCTGATGCCCGTCGTGATCCACCAGGCCATCACGGGGGCCCTTACGGGGGGCTCATGGGCCAGCGCGAGGACCCCAGCGAGGAGCTCACGGGCCAGCACGAGGACCCCTGCGACTCCATGGGCCAGCACGGACCCCTACGAGGAGCTCATGGGTTTCAACGAGGTGCTCGATCAGCCTCCCAATGGCGCTACATAGGCTCATCCTGATGCAGTCTTGGGCGACCCCTGGGAGGGGGATGGACGAGGTCCCAGGTCATATTGCTCGGGGGGATGCTTGGAGCTCGGTATCAGCCCAGTCGGTGTCTACGGGGGCCAACGTGCTCTACTTGGAGGGGGAGGCTTTGGTCACGTCCTATCGGCATCAGCTCCGCACTTTGGGCTCTCATGGGGCGCGCTTGGTTGCGCTCGTCGACAACCTCCCGTTGGCTCTCGCCTGCGCGAAGGGGAGGGCTCGGTCCCTCCATTTGAGGTCGTGCTTGAATCAGTTGTGCGCACTGTCGCTTGCCACGGGCTCGAGGCTCTTTGTGCGCTGGATCGCCTCAGAGCGCAACCCAGCTGATGCCCTCAGCCGAGGGAAGCTCGGCTGGTTCAACGGCCATCGTCATCTCAGTCATGCGAGGACTCGCCATGGGCGCCGTGGTGCTCGCGCAACTGCTCGCGGGCCTCCGCGAGGCGCTGGGCGCGCCGCGGCCGACGGGGCCCGCGCCCCCAGCCGGGACTCGCCACCGCGCGAAGCTGGCGTCTACAGCGGTGCGCAGGCGGACGCTGGTGGGCCCCGTGGCGCCCCTGGAGCACCAGGCGGTGCGGCCGACCACGGAGGCCCTCTATCAACTTCCTCAGCAGACATTTATCACGTACGGCTTGGACCGCCGCCGGGACTGGGGCAACCTTTGCGAGTTAGACATCCTGCTCGGCGAGTACTTCACTTCTCGGGGCATCTCGGGGGCGACGACGAGTGTCAAGCCGCAGACGGTTGTGGCGCTGGCGCACTTCACTCCCGTGCTCCCGAGGCAGGTGAGCCCGCCCCTGCCCCGCACCTCACTCGCGAGGCATGTGGCGGAGGCGGGCCCCGACCCCCGCTCGGCTGCTGATTCTTCGTGCGGTCATGCTGGCGCTGGCGGGGGTCCTGAGTGCCTGGCAGCAGGCGCCTGTGGCAGCTTGGCCCGCGATCGCAATCTCGGCGTACCTCGGACCCGCCGAGGCCCAGTGGCTCACGACCGACAGCGTTCTCCAGCCGTCAGCTCTGGCGGGTTTGGCTTGCCAGTCTTGGGGCTTGCCGCTGCGCCCGACGGACCGCGGCCAGGCGGGCAAGGCGGTTCGTCGCGCCCATCCTCTTCGACCCCGACCTGTACCTGATGCCGGTCTTCATCCCCGCCAGCCTGGCGCCCACCGTCCTGTCCGAGCCGGACAGCAAGCCCAGGCAAGAGGGGCGGCCTCTTGCCAACTGCGCCTGAGCGCGGCCGGCCTTGCCGGCCGCGCCGCTGGCGCCTGCGCTGGGCGGGCCCAGCCGCCATCGCGGGGCTCGCGGCGTGCCGATCACCTGCGGCGACGCTTCAGAGCTGCCGTCAGCCGTGGCCCCCCGTGCCGGCGGCGCGTCGTGCTGGAACTCTTCAGCGGCAGCGGGCATTTCGCAGCTGCCGCCCGGCGCCTCGGGCTCTCGGCACTTGGCTTGGACGTGCGCCAGTCGCCCCTGGAAGACCTCCTCTGCCGCGACGTCGAGCGGGTGGTGACCGGCTGGCTCCGCAGCCGCGCAGTCGCGGCGGTCTTCCTCGGAACGCCGTGTACGACGTGGTCGCGGGCCCTCCGAAAGCCGCTCAGGACGCGCTCCCAGACCATGGGCATCAGCGGCCTCTCGACCTCTGAAGCCGCGAGACTAGCCGCAGGCAGCGCTTCTTTTTACTTCGCATGCCGTATCATCCGTTTGTGCTGCACGCTTAACATACCAGCACTGCTTGAGAATCCCTCCAGCTCTTCAATGTGGCACACGAAGCCCCTTACGTCCCTCATTATCTCGAAGTGCGCTCGTGTATGTGATTTTGACAGGTGCCAATTCGGAACCTCCTGGCAGAAACGCGCCAGGATTGCGGCTTGGCTGACAGGAACGCTCGTCGGCCTTGATCGGCTCTGTGAAGGCCGCAGGGGGATTTGGTCTCGCACTGGCAACAGACATACAATCCTCACAGGCCAGGCCCCTGAGGGCTGTAAGTGCACCGCATTGGCTGCCGCCTATCCCGCTAGACTGTGCACGGTGTTGTTTCGAATAGTCAGAGGCGCTGTGTTGCAGAGGCCTGGGCAGGCCATGGCTGACTTAATAAGCAAGTCGCCTTCCTAAAAACATCGAGCTGCCTTCTGAAATTTTCGGCCCTGTAGCTGCCGCTCCCTGGCCAGTACTTCCTTATGGGGTGTGGGGCCTCATCTGTATGAGCCTCGCCTGTTGCACGTCTGTCGGTGGTCCATGCCTGTGCCTCTCGTTTCCGGCAGTATATTCTGCCGGCGCCTGGCTCGTGCTTCACACATATGAAGAAGAAGAAGAAGCGTGTTGCCCGTCGTCTGTCGCGTCGGGTGCTGCCATCGTCATTGCAGTTCTGGCACTCGCCGAATCGGGGCGGGCCGGGCAGTTTTCACAACGTTATGCAGAGCCCTGCGGTCAGAGTGCCGCACTTCCCGAATGCCAGCCCGTGCTCTCCGCTGGCATCTGTGCTCAAGTGCACCCACCCGCATGCCGCCCTCACTTGAATCCTTTTAATTTCGTCCTTCTTCGGGACCTCATCTGTATGAGCCTCGCCTGTTGCACGTCTGTCGGTGGTCAATGCCTGTGCCTCTCGTTTCCGGCAGTATATTCTGCCGGCGCCTGGCTCGTGCTTCGCACATATGATGAAGAAGAAGAAGCGTGTTGCCCGTCGTCTGTCACGTCGGGTGCTGCCATCATCATTGCAATTCTGTTGCTCGTCGAATCGGGGCGGGCTATATATATATATATATATATATATATATTTACATATATATATATATTTCTCTCTCCTTGTTCCTCCAGAATTAGGCGTTTATTTGCCAATACGCAATTTGCGTGCGATGCTGCCCCGTCGGTCATTCGACCGATGGGTTCGTAGCGTTTCAGCCCAGTCAGCGCCGACACCCCCCCGCATTTGTCGAAACAAATCAATGTCCAAGACTCCCTTTGACGTGCGCGTCGTCGCGCGCGCGCGTCGGAACGTTCTAAACAATGTAAGTGTCGTGAGGATTTTCAAAAACGGATGCGCAGAACTATGCATTGTTTACAGGATCCGTTTTTTGGTTTCAAGTATGTACGCGCGTTCTTGCGACTTCTTAAGCCAACCATCGGTTTTACAACGTGTCCACGTTCGACCAAAGGGGCCTCCCGCGCCGCATGTCGAAATCATTTGAACGCCCTTGCGCGCGGGCTGGGGGGGGGGGGGGGGGCACGGTTCCTGTCAAAGAATACCATGCGGGCCACTCGCGCGCGTCGGCCGCGCGCGCGTGTTTCTTCTCTACGAACAAAAGCTGTCATCGCCGACGCGATGCTATCATCGTCATCGGCGTGATCAGTATCGGTGCCGTCCTCGCCGTTGCCGTCGTCGTCATCCTAATTGTCACCATCATTGCTAGTACCACCATTGCGTTTACCGTTGGCGGCGTCGCCATGATATCGCGCCCACCCAAGTCACCGATTCGCGCTGCAGCGTGACGCGCTGGGAAGGGCCCAGCGGACAACGCCACCGCGGTCGCGTCAAATTCGCTGGCCGCTGTGCGCGCGAACGTGCTCGAGCTAGCGCGGCCGCAGAGATGCACCAGTCAGCTCCGAGCAGTCATCGCCAACGCCGCCGCATTTTGCAAACCAAATTGCGAGTGGGTGGGGGAGATGATTGCGCGAGCATCGAAGGTGACAGTTCCAGTTCTTATTTTACATAATATTTGCGCCGCGTAGGTTGCGCCACAGACTGCATTCCATAAACTGCGCACCGTTGTATTGCACAGCGTCGACCTTGTTCTTTTTTTTTTCTGTTTGTGTTTATTGCTGGTGAGCCCACATCGCGTTCACACCGTTCGTTCGCCCGAAACATGAACCCGCGCCGTCCCAGCCCAGACGGCGTCGCCCGCCCCGCCCCCCGCATCATCTGGGCAAAACAAAGTCAATGCGCGCACATTCGTTTATCAGAAATCATACGTTTCCAATAATCCGTTGCAGCACGCGGGGCGAAAAGGCGCACGCGCGCGTCGTCGCGCGCGCACATGCCGTAATCATTCAAAAACCTCGCTGAGGTTTGGTGAGGATTTCGAAGTCGAGTGCCCCTGAAACGTATGCATGGCTTGGCGAAGGACCCAGGCATATGCAGTCGTGAGTGCCGCAGTTTTGAGTATCGTCTTCAGTGGAGCGTGCTAAGGGGCCGCAAAACGAGTGGGGCGTGCCGAGGTGGGTGGCGCGGACGCATGCGAATCCTGCCGCTGGGACCTTCGGTCGAGCTCGGCATTGCGACGCGAAGCGTGTGAGGGGTGCTCCGAAATGGGTCGCGCGGGCGCGGGCGAACCCTGCCGTCGGGGCATTCGGTGGAACCCCCCATGTGGCGACGAAGCGTGTGACCTCCTCCTCCTCCTCCCCTCCTCCTTGTCCTCCTCCTCCTCCTCTTCCTCCTCCTCCTCCTCCTCCTCCTCCTCCTCCTCCTTGTATATGTATACATAGATACATACACATATACACATATATTTGTATTTGTATGTATGTATATATATATACACAAAAATTCACACATACATAAATCAGACATGACGCGACCGCACCTAGGTTGTCCTCTGTGCCCTTCTGCCCTTCCCTTCGCGCTTTCCTCCTCCCACCTCGGCCTCCCGCCCTCTGCCGTTGCCGACTGCCCCTGCCCCGCCCCTTAGGAGTGCCTCGCTCCCACGGCCGCGCCTCGCGGGGAGCCCCCCCCCGCACTCCAGAGGGTTGCCCGTGTCCCCGCCGCGGCCACGCCTCTCTCGTTAGCAGGGCCTCCACCCCGAAAGCCCCCCGCCCTTCCGCTCCGGAGTCAACCTCGGCGGTCGGGCCCCATCATCGCCACCCGTGCAGGCACCCCTGCCTGCTCGGCCTCATCGCTTGGTCCGCACTCGTTGCGGTCGCTGCACCCCTGTCGTCTGGGGGCCTTTCATCCTCGCTCCTGTTCTCGACCCTGCCTCTGTCCCGCCCACCTTCCGAGGCATGCTCACTTCCCGAGGGATGGGTCGAGTAGGATCGGCGGATGTGCCTCGTGGGTCTCCCCGACGTCCGTGGTGAACTTCATGCAGAAGCACGGAGTGGAATGCCCCGCCGGGGGCAGCTCGGTCATGATCTCCGAGGACCCGGGGTGTGGTTCGCAACGCATGCACGGGGCTTCCCCCTCCTCTGGTCGGGGATCTACTGACCTGGGTCAACTCAGACCCAGGTCAGTCAGGCTCTGCAGGATCCTGCAAGATTCTGTAGGGCCCTGCAGGATCCTGCACCCACATCCGGGTCAGTGCGCCTCTGGCCCTGCAGGATCCTGCAAGATCCGGCGCTCTGACTGACACCCGTGCGCTCTGACCCCCGCCCCTTGAGCCTCGGCGTGGGCCTCTGGCGACCTCGCCCGCCCGACCCGTGGGGGCCTCTCGATCGAGGCCCGCTCTGGGCCCACGGGGCCACCGAGAGACCGCCCGCGAGGAAGCTGTTGGCTCACGGGGCCCGTGCCCGTGGAAAGTCGCGGCATCCGAGGCCCGGGTGTCTGCCCAGCCCGTTCGCCCCGGCCTCTCTGGAGCCCATCTCGATCCGATGGATGTCGATTCCGGCCAGCTCGATGTGATCCAATTCTTAGATGCTCGTTTTGGGTACCTTCCTGGGGTCCGCCTACTTGATATGTTCGACTCAGTTCGATACAGGTTCGACTCAGGTTTGACTCAAGGTCGACTTACATGGACGGACGTTCGACGCAGCCTCGACGTACGAGTGGAGCAAGTGGCTCCAGTAAGGTCTCTAGAATGAGCATCCAACATCTCGATCTGATGGATGTCGATTCTGGCCGGCTCGACCCGGTCCAACTCCCATCTTTCGGTGGGGGTTCGTACAGGGAGGGTCAGCCACGCGCAGAGGGGGGTGGGGGGAGGGGGATGGGCTTCTTAGAAGCGCCCCTGCTTCTTAGAAGGCGCGGGCCTTCTCTATAGATGTGAGGCCGGCGCCTTCCTTCCCTCCTTCTGAGAAGCCCTTCCCACTCCCTCCGCGTCGTTTTATGTGCCCCCCCCGAGGCTCCGGCGATGCGATGCGGCCCGATGCCTCCGCGGCGCCTTTGTGCACCCCGGTGCAGCCGGGGCGCTCCGCTCTGGGCTCCGTGCCGAGGCGGCCCGACCCGACGCGCGTGCCGACCGGTTCTGGACTGCCAATGCGATGCGGCTCGATCCTAGGAGGAGGAGGCGGAGGAGGAGGAGGAGGCGGAGGCGGAGGCGGAGGCGGAGGAGGAGGAGGAGGAGGAGGAGGAGGAGGAGGAGGAGGAGGAGGAGAGGAGGAGGGAGGAGGAGGAGGAGGAGGGGAGGAGGAGGAGGCGGAGGAGGAGGAGGAGGTGGCGGAGGAGGAGGAGGAGGTGTGGGAGGAGGAGGAGGAGGAGGAGGTGTGGAAGGAGGAGGAGGAGGAGGCGGAGGGGGAGGAGGAGGCGAAGGAGGCGGAGGAGGAGTTGGAGGAGGACTCCTACCCTTCGTTCCGCCCAGTCGAGCGGCGCCGACGCGCACGTCCGATCCCCGCGCTCGGGGGGAGAGCCGCGCGGTGGCGCTGCAGCGCGGCGCACGGCCGCGCGGCGCGGAGCAGTGGCCGCGGCTGCCCCTGCAGGGCGCTTCTGGGCAGCTGCTTCTGCTCGTGGCTCCTGGTCGGAAGGAAATTCACAGGCACAACTGAGCGTCGATTCCGAGGAAAAGATGGGAAACTATGGGAAATGGGGGGAAGATCGGAGGTTGGGGGGGGGAGATCGAAGTGGAACGGAGACCCCCAACCAGGAAATCGTTTCGTTTCGTTCGTGTCGTGCGTGCGGGCGAGGCGAAGCTGCATGGGCGCGCGAGCGGAATGAACTCGCCGTTGCTAGGGCGAAGTCAAGACAAATGATTCTCCCCCGCCCGCCTGCCCGTCCGTCCGTCCGGCGGTGGCCGGTGGTGTCCCGCGGTGTCCCGTGTTGTCCCGTGGTGTCCCGTGGAGTCCGCCGTTGCTAGGGCGATGTCAAGACAAATGATTCTCCCCAGTCCGTCCGTCCGGCGGTGGCCGGCGGTGTCCCCCGGGTCCCGTGGTGTCTTGTGGTGTCCCGTGGTGTCCGCCGTTGCTTGGGCGAAGTCATGACAAATGATTCTCCCCCGTCTGAACGTCCGTCCAGCGGTGTCCCCCGGTGTCCCGTGGTATGCTGTGGTGTCTCGCGGTGTCCCGTGGTGTCCGCCGTTGCTATGGCGAAGTCAAGACAAATGATTCTCCCCCGTCCGCCCGTCCGTCCGTCCGTCCGGCGGTGGCTCGCGGTGTCCCGTCGTGTCCGCGGGGTCCCGTGGTGTCCCGTGGTGTCCCGTGGTGTCCTGTTGAGTGAGATCGATAATGAGGTCGATAGTGAGATCGATAGTGAGATCGATAGTGAGATCGATAGTGATATCGATACTGAGATCGATGTGGTGTCCCGTGGTGTCCCGTGGTGTCCCGTTGAGTGAGATGGATAGTGAGATCGACAGGTGTCCCATGGTGTCCCGTGGTGTCCCGTTGAGTGAGATCGATACGGATGTTGGTTCCCCCCCCTCTCCCCCCCCCCATCCTCCTTATCACCCGAAGGGTGGTCGTATAAGTAAACGTACAGAACATATGGGAAATAATGGGGAATCCTGGGACTTTTTGTATTTATCGGCGGCGAGCGAGGTGGTGAAATGAGAAGGAGAAGGCCTTCTCAGAAGGCGGCGGGACTTTTCAGAAGCCCTCGCGCTTTCTGAGACGTTTTCTGTGTCTTCGGGGAAGGCTTAGAAAATTTCTCAGAGGTTCCTTGGACTTCCGCATCTTCTGAGAAGGCCCGCCTCTTCTCACTTCCCCCCCTGGCTCGCCGCCTGATTTATTCGTGTGTCCCCGGGCCCCTTCAAGTGGAGGGGGGCGAAATGGGCCCCTGTGGCCCAGAGGGGGCATGAAGGGTGCACGTTTCTTCCCCCCCCCAGGGCTGGACTCCACAGCGGCTGGACCTAAACGATGTTTTTGGCGATTTCGTGGGCCTTTTATCGTTTCGACTTCGTTTTGCGATAAGGGCGGATTCGAGACAAAAGCGAGGGAAGACGAAAACAAAACGAACACGAAAAACACCGTTGAGGTTCAGCCCTGCCCCCTCATTTATATCGCGCCCCCATCAAGCAACGCCTGGCCTCGTGGCCAGTCTCGGGGCCTCCTTGGGCCGCCATGAGAGAAGGAGGTCCTGAGGTCAGCGGGCCATGGAGTTTGCTCCCCGCTTCAAGTCTCCCGGGGCCCCCGACGGGCCCAACGACAGCCAGAAACGACCCGGGGTGAAGAGCTGATCCTGTGGCCTTGACATCGCTCGGACGTGTGCATCCTTCCTCGGCGAGGCCCACCGAAGAGCACCCTGGATCGCCGAGCAAAGAAATCACGCGCGACACCGAAACAGGGCACGGGGAATGGACGCCCGAGCGATGGCGAGTGGAAGGGCCCTGGGGGCCCAGGAGCCCTCTCCCTCCGTGGGCGGGCCCTGCGCCAGGGGAGAGGCGAGTCTGGGCGGCTTCAAGGAGCGCGGGGCAGCTCCTTAGACGCCAGAGGCCTCCCGAGAAGGCCCCCCCTCTCGCGCCGCCTCCCCCCGTGTGCGCCGCCAGCTTCTCGGATGCAGCTCCTGGGAGGTCAACTTCTGACTTTGCCCTGCTTCGATTCTCAGAAGGCTTCGCGCCTTCTGAGAAGTTTTCTTTCTCTTCGGGTGAGGGTCAGAAAACTTCTCAGAATGCCGGGGGACTTCCAAGCTTTTTGAGACGGCCTTCTCCTCACTTCCCCCCCGGGCTCGCCGCCGACATACAGTTCGCGAACAACGAGCAGGTCGACCTTGCAACATCAGGGGTGCCTTGATGTCCTCTCAACCCCTGGCTGGTCCTGGTGCCCCGGTGCTGGCTGTCCTGGTGCCCTGGTGCCAGGTCCTTGATGTCCTCTCAACCCCTGGCTGGCGCCCCTATCAATGCTTGCGTGATGGCCTGGTGCCTGGATGTCCTCTTGCACCACGTGCCCTCTGGTCTGCTCGTGTCGCGCGCTGCCCTCGGAAGAGCCTCGTGCGTTCTCTCGGCTGTCCTCTGCCATCGGTCTCCGCTGCAACTCTCCGCTGCAACTCGTGGTCTGTTCCGAGACCCCGCCGCCATGCTTTTTCCGCGTTATGAACCCCCGGAGGTTTGGAACCCTTCTTGGGGGACCGGCTTTCCATCCCGAGCTGTTCTTTGACGGTCCCAAAGCCTTGTGAGGGCCACCAGAGGCAGAGCGTTAAAATTCTAGACGCTTCGCGTGACCCCACCAGCCCATCCAGAGACGATGCCCAGAGGAGTTGCCTCGATCAGGGAAGTGGACAGCACGCAGAGGAAGGGTCCCTCTTGGAGCGCTCTTGGGACACTCTTGGGCGCTCTTGGGGCCGTATTGGGGCTTTCTTGGGCCTCTCTTGCGTTTTGGGAGCTTTTTGGTGGTCCCGGGGGCCTCTTGTAGCGTCTCCGGTGCCTCGGGGAGCCTCTTGGGGGCGCTTGGGGGTCTCTTGGTTGGAGCCTCTTGGAGGCCTCTTGGGCGCCTCTTGGGGCCTCCTGGGCGCCTCTTGGGGCCCTCTTAGGCGCTCTTGGGGAACTTGGGAGCGCTCTTGGGGCCATCTTGGAGGATATCGATCAAGAACGAGGGGAGCTGTTTTTTAGCGCTTCCCCTTGGGAGCCCCCATAGTCGCCTCTTGGGGCGCTCTTGGGGCGCTCTTGGAGCGCTCTTGGGCGCTCTTGGTGCCGTCTTGGAGCTCTCTCGAGCCTCACTTGGGGCCCTCTTGGGCCATTTTGGAGCCATCTTGAGGCCTCGGATGGCCATGGGAAGCGAAAAGGCTAGAAAGCAACAAACCCTGATTTTCCTTAGGATCTTGGGGAGCTCTTTGGCCATTTGGAGCCGTCTTGGGACGGTCTTGGGGTCTCTTGGAGCATCTTGGGTGCCATCTTGAGGGATCTTGCGCTATCCTGAGCCATCTTGGAGGTCGTCTTGGGCTCTCCGAGGCGCTCTTGGAGCCATCTTGGGCCATCTTGGACGCTCCAACGCGTCGCGGCCCCCCCCCGTCCAGGTCCAGGGGAGGGGGTAGGGGGAGGGGTCAAGAGTCTCCCTCCCCGCCCGCAAGCCGTCTCGCTCACTCCCACCCGCCCTCCCAACACATACGTAGCACCCGAGTCTAGCCCGAGCCGCAGCATATGCAGCAGTCGTCTTTGCATGGGCAGCTACTGGGGACGCATCCGCCTCCGCCGCCGCCGCAAAGCCGCCCGCCGCCGCCGCTGCCGCGCCGCCGCCGCCGCCGCCGCCGCCGCTGTCCGCCGCCGCCGCCGCCACCGCGCCGCCCGCCGCCGCCGCCGCCGCCGCCGCCGCCGAATCGCCGCAGCCACAGCCGCTGCCGCCGCAGTCGCTGCCGCCACCGCTACCGCCCGCCCGCCCGCCGCCGCCCCCGCCGCCCCCGCCGCCACCGCCGCCCCCGCTGCCGCCACCGCCGCAGCCGCCGCAGCCGCTGCCCCCGCCGCAGCCGCCGCAGCCGCCGCCGCCGCCAAGTGTACTCTGTATTGTTTTTTGACAGGGATGGTGGGGGGAGGCCGCATCGGGTTCGCTGCGCTTGTTCCGAATTTGGAGGCAGAGTGTGTTTCGTATTGTTTTTTGCAATGGATGGGGGGGGACAGAGTTTTTTTGGGGGGTTTTACAAGGGGAGGTGGTGGGGGGCCCGCATGGACCTGGGTTGGCTCCCAGTCGCCTGGAGGAGGGGTGTATATTACTAGGGGACGGTGATAAACCCCTCCCCGAAGGGGAAGAAGGGCTTAAGAAGCGGGTTGGAAGATGAAGCGCCCCAGACCACCTACGTCCAGAGGGCTGGTGGGATTGGCACCAACCTGCGGTCTTGTTTTTTTTCACGACGCCGGGGGTCTGGGTTTGCAGTGCGAAAGGCAGCACCCCCGCGTTGCGGATTCCCCCGGCGCGAGGACGCGGAGGATTGCCGGCTGGCGGCGCCATTCGCGGTCAGCTCCGCGTCGAAGGGGCAGTCCTGCATCACCCGCGACGCGGCCGAGGCGGCGTGCGAGGACGTGCTCGGCAGGTGTCTCGGGGCAGCCACCACGACCGTCGCTGGGATAATCAATGAGATTCGCTCTCGCCCTGGGGGGCGTTAAGAGGAGAAACGTGTGCTGACGTTGTAAGCTTCCGTCCCGGATCCCCGTCGCGCTGCGAGCCGATCACGGCGGAAACGTTGTTTTGTTGGTCCCTGGCGGGGGACCCCGAGGCCGTTCACAAGCTTCACATAATGATAAAGGGTCTGGGGAAGGCGTCCAGGATTCTCCGGGGTCCTTATTTTTCGGTAGCACATCATGGGAGCCTGGTATACCCTTTTTATTCCGTCTGTAGCGTCGATTAGCGTTTGGGTGTCGATGAGGTAGCGCCGATTTAGCGTCGATTAGCGCCGATGCGCAAGAGCCGGCAAGATGGTATGGGAGGCTCCCCTGAGTTGCCACCGAACACGTTGGTCGGGGACCCACGCCGTGCGGTGAGTCGAGCGAAGGCTCGAGATGACCGCACGGTGTTGGGATCTGGTCCGTCCTCCGAGGGTGCCTCGGGCGACCGAGGCCTCCGAGGTCCCCAAAAACCGTGCGGACACGGGCGGGGCGGCGAGGCCTCTTGGGCTTTCGAGGCCACCCCACGGTCCGTCACCGCACCGCTTTGGGGACCCCCCGGTCGGGGACCTATCACGACCTCGGGAGTCGGACGTCGCACGTCGTCCGAGACCGAGCCGGGCCCTTGACACCTCCCGCAGGACGGGTCCCGTGCGGCGGGCTCGCCGCCGCGCCCGCTCGAGGTTGCGACGCCGCCGGCGGTCCAGCAGCGGCCACTGCGGGAGGATCCGGCGATCGAGGAGCCGCCGATCCTTCCAGGCCGAACGCTCCGCGCGAGGTCAGAAGCCACCGCCGGGGTCGTCGCGGCAGGGGCCCGAGGCAGCCGCCGCGGCGGGCCCCCGTCGGGCGCAGCGCAGGCCTCCGCCGGCACCGAGCCCAGCGCCGCGGCGCGCGGGCGGGGCGGGCGAAGCGGCCGCCGGCGTGCCGTGCCCTCCGATGGCCGCCTCCGCCGCTGTCCCACGGCGGCCCTCGGCGCTCCCCGCCGCTGCGCGGCGCCCGCCTGCTCTGCCCTCGCTCCGCGGAGTGCCGGCGCCCGCCTGCTCTGCCCTCGCGCCGCCGAGTGCCGCCCACGCCACCGCCGAGCCGCGGCCGTGCCCACGGCCCGGGAGCCGTGCCCTGGGGCCTCACTGGAGCGGCGGCAGGACGGAGGTCTGCCCGCCCGCCCTGGCGGGCGGAGGTCTCCAAGGCCGCCGCCCTCCGAGTCCCTGGGGCAGGGCCCCGCGGCAGGGGGAACGATGCGTATTCTGGCGGCGCACCCGCGAGTTCCAGAGGAGGAGACGTTACCGATACCGCTACCCTTCGCCCGCTTTCCCCTCGGGGGCCTCCTGGGAGGCTATCGTCGCCACGGCTGGATTCGCCTCGAAGTGCTGGTCAGAACGCACCCCGGGAGAGGGCCAGGGAGTAGCGGTATCGGTACCTGTTGGTATCCCCAATTCTGGCGGCGCGCTTAGTAGCTGGCGTGCTGGGAGAGGGAGCCCCTGCAGCATGGCCGATTCGACAAGGGCACGCCTAGTCACTCGTGTCTTGAGGCCACGGGCGCGCTGCACGGGGGGAGCGGAGCCCCTGGCCGAACCGAGAAAGGTTGCGTGCGTCTACTCGCGTCTTGATGGCCAGAGATTTGCTTTCGAAGAGAGCATGGAGGGGGAGCCATGGAGCAAGCACAGGGCAGTGGAGTTTGTCCGCCCGCCGACGTCCGTGCCCCTCCGTGGTAGCCATGCCCAGTTCCCTTCCTCTGGGGTCGGCAGGGCCCCGCCTCGAGGTGGTGGAGCCTCAAGTTCGGCGCGGACCAGGTGCTCACGAGCTTCTTGCAGGAGAAGCTTGCGCGGGACCTGCGGGACAAGGCCTTGCTGGAGTGGGCGCTGCAGAACCGGGGGCACGCGGAAACGACGGCCAAGGAGGACGTCCTTGCCTGGGTCGTGCCCAAGTGCATCGAGATTTCCCTCCGCAAGTTCGCGGGAGGCCAGATCACCGCCGAGGGCGGGGCTGGGCTGCTGACCGACCTCTTCGGGAAGAACGAGCTCCAGCAGCCGCCCTTCAGCCTGCCGGCCGTGACGTATGGGCATCTCCGCCACGACGTTGCAGCCGAGATGAAGCTGGCCATGCACGTGCCTGTGTCCGTGGGCGGCACCAAGCGGCTCGAGCACCCTGGCTTCAGTAGCTACCGGCGCCAGCTCGGCGTCCCAGACGACTTTCTAGAGGCCTTTCACTGGCAGCCAGATGCGGGTATCGACGCAGGTTCGGGCTCTCTCTTCGCGTCCTACTTGGCCTTCATGATCAAGTGCGAGGACTCGCGCGACTGGCACTCGACAGTCGACTGGCGGACCTTCCACGTCATAGCGGACGAGTATTTCAAGTTCATGCAGGAAAACCCCGATAGTCTTTTGCCGCGCTTCCTCACGGCGTGGTCGATGGATGCCGGAAGCGATGGCAGGATGATGTTTTGCTGGGCCATGCAGGATTGGACCCCTTCCAGCTGGAAGGAGAACCCAGACTGGCAGGCATCGCGCGAGGCCGCGTCTCTTTCGTGGGACTTGAAGGGTTCAATCATTTACTGGAAGAAAGGTGACACCAACAATCGCCTGGTCACGCGGGGGACGAAAGTGTTCCATCCAGATGACAGGCTGATGTTGAAGGACCAGAACTTTGTCACCGACCATCTGAGAGCCAGTTGTGTAAGGAGATTGTGATTTCCCAGGAGGTGTTCGCAAAACAAAAGGTTCACAAACAATTCGGGTTACGCAGTGTTCCACGCGCACAGGAATCTACACAGCGGGGTCTGCAGACTGAATTCCATACACGAGGCTTCACACATAGCGTTACACAATAGAGTTCAGCATACACGAGTTCCACACACAGGGTTCCGCACACAGGGAACGCACACATGGGCTTCTACCCATCGGATTTTTCACACATCGGATCTCATACGTTGGGCTCCTCACAAAGTGATATTCCATCATGTTGGGTTCCACAGGGTTCCACGCGCAGGGTTCGACACATACGAAGGGTTCCTGGCACATGGGGTTTCACACATTCGGCTCCACACATCTGATTCCACACGCAGGGATCCGCACCTCAGATTTTTCTCGTCGGGTTCCACACATCGTGTTCCACACGCACAGGCTTGACTCCTGTCAGACTCTTCGGGATCATTGTATGTTGTTTTTGGTCCGACGTAATCAGTCTTGTGTTCAGCCACCATCGAATTCCTGGAGACCAGTTCCCTGGCAACCTTGGCTCTCAGACGATAGCTTGGTCTTGCCTCGCGACACGGCTGAGATGCTGCATGAACAGGTGGACAAGGATGTGGCTTGGCTGCAGTCGAACATGTTAATGGACTATTCGTTTTTCTTGTTCCTTGTCGACGTGGATGCCGAGGACGCTGTTAGCTTGTCCCATGTCTGCCCGGCCGAAGGCCACTTCGAGCCCAAGTTCCTCACCGCGGCGTTTTTCCAGCGGGACGCGGGCTTCACTGCGACGGTGCCGTCTTGGGATGGTAACCTTTACCTCTGGTCGATGGGCCTGATCGACATCTTGCAGCCCTGGTCCCTCTTCAAGGCCATCGGCACCGCCGTCGACGAGCTCTTATTCCCTGATTCCGTCGGTACATTTGCGATGAACAACATCGCTCCCAGCCAGTACGGGCCCCGCTTCAGCCAGTTCTTGAAGAACATCACCTACTCTTCGCACACGGTGACGTACCCGAACGGGACGACGGAGGCATTCGAGGCAGAGCACGTCTACAAGAAGTGCGCCGACTTCCGAGCCAGGGAGGCGGATCACGAGTGACGAACTCAAACATCCATGTCCCTGCCCTCGAGTCTTGGCGATGAGTTTTGCCGATCGTCGAGGGCCCTCGACAATTACACAATATGAAAATACTCTCCCCCTTCCCCTGATGGCGTCCCGAATATATCCGACACCCCCCCGCGTATGTTTTTTTTACACACAGGATTCCTGGGATACGGGTTTTCGCTTGTGTTTTTTTCAAAATGCGCCGGCCTCATTTCTGCTCCCGAATCGTTCCGAATCGTGCTCCCGCTGCAGCGTGGGCCTCATTTTCGGATCGGTGTTTGGCCTCCGTCGTTCAGGATGGCGTTCTCGCCCCAGCGCGGGCCTCTTTCTCGCGCGCCCATCCGCCCGCCACCACCGCGCCGCACCACCACCACCACCACCACCACCACCACCACCACCACCACCACCACCACCACCACCACCCACCACACCACCACCACCACCACCACCCACCACCACCACCACCACCACCACCACCACCACCACCACCACCACCACCACCACCACCACCACCACCACCACCACCACCACCACCACCACCACCACCACCACCACCACCACCACCACCACCACCACCACCACCACCACCACCACCACCACCACCACCACACACACACACACACGCACACACGCACGCACGCACGCACGCACGCACGCACGCACGCACGCACGCACGCGCACCACCACCCACTACGCACGCGCGCGCGGAGCCACAAGTCCGCTACGACACGCGTCCGCGGATAGAGAAAATCAGCGCCATGGTAAGGGATGGGAGGGAGGGGTAGGACGTCAGATATGACGCGAGCGCACCTAGCTTGTCCCCCCCCCTTCCCCCCCCCCGGGAGTAGATCTTGGCTGTTTTTGGGCGCCTGTTTCAGGTGGGGGTCCGGAGCCAGAACCCCCCTCTCTTTTCTGTTACCCCTTTTTGTTTACTCGCGGGTGGACAGAACCCCCAACAGTGACACGTCGATCAGTGAATTGTCCGTTTTCGGATCTCGAGAGGGCGCCGTGGCCGTTATTTTCCAGGCTTGCGCCCGCCAGGTTTGGGCCTCAGGTCGTTTTCACTAAACCCCGTTTTACTAAAGGGGGGTCTGTCCATCCCCGATTATCCCTTTTTGTTTGCTGTCGAAGCGCCGAATAAAAGAAAGCGCTCACCATCCACGTGCCTGCCCTCGCGGCCTGGATCCCGAGGAGCAACCCCGCGGATGCTCGATCCCGTTGTTATATACACCCCAGGCGATGCTTAAGAAAACTTTAGTTTTCGGCCAGAGTCTCGATTATTCTTAATGTTTCGATGTGAATCCTAAGATTTCGATCGAAATTCTGGGTTTTTTAATTCAAGTTCTGAGACTATGAATTTCTGAACCCATGATTTCTTAAGCATTTCGCAAGGTGTACGCTCTGCGCAGGGCGCTCGCGCGCGTGCGGGCGCGTGCGGGCGCGGCCGGGGAGTCTGGACCGCGAGGCCGTGAACACCTACGCAGAGATCCGATGTAGTGTTAAGTCGGGCCTGTCCCTCTGCAGGAGGAGTAGTCAAGAGTAGCAAAAAGATAGTCCGGGGGCGATTTCTGTTGTGAGTATTTGTGAGCATTTTCGGGGCACTGTTTGACTATTTTAAGCTTTTCGTCCAAAAATCCGCCTGTAGGGGGACACGCCCGACCTACATGTAGTGTGGTTTTCAAGCGCTGCGTTGCCGATTTCGTGGGCCCCTGTTCGTTTCGATTCTGTTTTGCAGCAGAGGCGGGTTGAGGGCGAAGCGAGAGGACACGAACAACAACGCGAAGACGACGAATACCGCTTAGGGCGATGCCTGCCCCGGAAGTCCCGGCCCGTTCCTCAGGGCCTGCTCTGAATCTTGAGTATTTGTCCGTACCCTCCCGTACTAGGTTACAGTCGGGGCGCTGAAGAAGGAACCCTTCTCGTCGGCGAGTGGCTCGGTGTTCCTTGACTGTTTTACAGTTTGCGTTGTGTTTTCCATGGGAAATCGGAGTTTCACTTATGGGAAACAGGGGCCTCGTTCCTTATTTAGGGTTCCTTAGGTCAACGCCCCGACTGTATCGTTCTGAGCAGGGCGTTGTGGTCTCCACCTCCTCCTCTCCCGGCTCCTCCTCCTGCCTCCTTCTGCGCTGCTGCCCGGGTGGCTGCGAACTGCGCAGCCGTCGCCACTGTCGCGTGCTCCTGGGAGGGCCAGCGGGGTCGGGGGCCACGCGCACCCAGACGAGACCCCGCTGCTCCCTGGGTGGCTGCGAACTGTGCAGCTGCAGCCCCTTTTGTGGGCTCCTGGGAGGTCCGGCGGAGTCGGGGGCCACACGCAGACCCAGACCCCGGCCTCCGCAACTCTGGCCACGCTCACGGGCCCCTGGGAGGCACGGTGGAGAGGGGGGCAGCGCAGACCATGCACAGCTCTGGCGACTTGTATTCTCATATGGAATTCTATGTGGACAGACCTCCTACCCTTACACGTCTATTGATCAATTGGCCGTTTTCGGTTCGCGAGAGGGCGTTGCGGCCGTCGTTTTTGCGGGTGCAGGCCCGTCGGTTTCCGTCCCTGGCCGATTTCACTCAGGGGAGGTTTACTAAAGGGAGGTTTGTCCACCCCCGATGGAACGTTCATACCCATCGGTCGTTGACAGTAGGTTTTCTTGAATTCCCAGTCTTCTATCCACTTCCAGCGCCTTCCTACTTCAATGATCGAGTGGCTTGACCGTTTCCGTCCTCTTCAGGGGACGCGCGGAAGCCCAATCTACTTTTACCGCCTTCCTTTTTCATGTTCCTACCTACTTGTCATTGCGCCAACATCGCAGAGCGGATTGCGTTCGGAAAACAATGGGATGGGCCCGGAGTGTCCTGCAGAATTTCGGTCTGGATTTCGAGGTGAATTTCGTGCGGATTTTGTTGGCCAGGAGTGAAGACCAAAACAAATCCACGCGAAATTCATTTTGTTTTTCGCTCGCCGTTTCGGGCAAACATCCACGCAGAAATCCACGCAGAACTCCGCTGCAGCACGTCTACAAGGCCGGTGCAATGATACTTCTTCCGACCGATGTGTACATGTATTCGCCTCGCGTGGATAATGGGGTTGGGCACGTCTCGGGTAACTGGTGTTGACGGCCCCGAGGCCTCAGCGAGGGGACCCCCAGAAGCCAAAAAGACGACGAGCCGCCTCCGTACAGTGGGAGCCCATGCCAAGAAGCACTCTGCTTGCCTCCAGGGTGCCCTGGGCTTCTTGGGCTTCCATGGTCTTGCTGTGGAAAGCGCGACGTTCCCACACCAAACATCAGTGGACGTCCTGGGGTCCCAGGGTTGGGCTTCCTGTGGAAGGTTTATCGTTTGGTCGAGCTCCTGCCGTAGTGGACTTTCAATACCATGGAGGTCTGGGAGTGTGAGCATGCTTTCTCTCTCGAGGCGAAGGAGAAGAACCCCCACCTCCCGTTCTGCGAGGACCTGCGCCTCGAGGCCGCCCTGCCAGAGACGACGCGGCTCCTCCGCGCGGCGGCCACTCCGTTCACGGAGGAGGAGGTCAGGGCCGCGCGGAGGGAGGCTCACGCCGACACTGCGCCCTGCCAGGATGTCGGGGGAGGGGAGCCGCTGCCACAGGAAGAACGCTGCCGATGCGGCTACGCTTCCTGAGAAACGTTCAGCCGATCCCCATCCCCACTGGCGTGGCCTGGGCCCCACTGGCCGGTGTTATCCCCCTCGATGGGTATGTAGGCTGCTCTTTTCGGGTTTTGAGGGGCATATCCCCAACTGAGGTGGTGAGACGGTGGGGCTCGAGATGTGGATGGGGATGGGGATAGGGATCGTGTTATGTACCCTCTGGGGCACAACGCGCGTTATGCCCCCTACTCTTCCCTCCCCCCCTAACGCTCCTCCCTCAGTGCCTCCCTGGCACTGCCGCAGTGCGTCCGGCACCACAGTCGGGGGGGCGGGGGGGCGCTGCCTTATGCCCTCCCGTCCCCCATCCCCTCTCGCGATCAGGACTTAGCGGAAAATCTGGCATTCCCCGGGAAAAACGGACATTCTCCGGTAGCACCAGGAAATGTCCGATTTCTGCGGCGCTTCCTTTGCGAATGTTTCGAGCGGGGTCGGGCCGCAAAGTCTTCGAAAGCCAACTGGTTGGCTTACGTCTGACCATTCGGTTTCCGAAAAAACATACCGGGGAATGTCTGATCTCGGTGTGCTTGCGTCAGAAAAGTCTCAGAAGCCTCTCAGAAGCCTCTCAGAAGAGTCTTAGAAGCCTTTCAGAAGCCTCTCAGGAGCCTCTCAGAAGCCTCTCAGAAGCCTCTCAGAAGCTTCCCAGAAGAGTCTCAGAAGCCTCTCAAAAGTCTCTCAGAAGCCTTTCAGAAGCCTCGCAAAAGCCTCTCAGAAGAGTCTCAGAAGCGTCTCAGAAGCCACTCAGAAGAGTCTCAGAACAGTCTCAGAAGCCTCTTCAGAACAGTCTCAGCAGAGTCGCAGAAGCCTCTCAGAAGAGTCTCAGAAGCCTCTCAGAAGCCTCTCAGAAGATCTTCAGAGATAATTAAAGCGAAGCTGCTCAAAGATTTAACCGGGGAATGTCCGGTTTTCCAGGGGTAAGTCCGATTTGACCGAGAAAAGTCATGTTCTCATCCCCCCTCCGAGATCCTGATCAGAACGCACCCCTGGAGAGGTCCAGGAGGCATGTGTATCGGTGCCCTTCTCTCCCCCCCATGCAGGGCACGAACCCATCCATACGGATCTTTCGCGTCCACGCCTCGCGGTGGAGTCACCGAGGTGCGATCCCATGGGCACGCGACCCCGTACGCACGTGCTGCGCGGGGCGTCCGCTCGAGGCCGCATCGTGTCCATGGGCCTGCGGCCGATGAGTCCGGGCCGCGAGGCCGCGGACGTGGACGTGCCCCCTGCAGGCACCACCGCAGGGCTCGTTTCGATTCCTCCGATACGATTCGATTCGACTTCATGGATTCCGATTCCGATTCGATTCGACTTGGGATTCCGATTTGGGCTCCGATTTCTCGATGGACGCACACTCTAGCCTGCCGATTTCCGCCAATTTGACTTTTCCCGACTCGGCTGCCGATTTCCGCCGATCCGATTCGTGCCGACTCCCGATCCGACCTTTCGATTCGATTCTGGGTTCCCTTTGCCACCGCACGTCACCCACGGGGCAGGTTGGGCAAGAAGCTGGTGTGCATGCCTTCCTGGCCCTGGTCATTAGTCGGGCATGTCCCTCGACAGGAAGAGGTAATCAGGAACAGTACCACAACTAGTCTTTGTGCCGATTCTTCGTGCTCTTGTTCAATTTTATCTGATTATTTCTGGACTATCTTTCATTCTTCTTCCAACTTCGCCTGTAGGAGGACATGCCCAACCTATCCCTGGTTGGGAGCCGATCGATGTACACACCACGATGTGGGCCTGTGCAGGCTTGGGGCTTGATTAGGTTGTTCGTGGGGCTATATCAAGCCTTCTTGAGGTCATGCCTAAGATGCCCCATCGGAAGCGAAACGGTGAGACGACAAGACACAGTGATGTTGCATAGGTCAGTTGAAGGAGTTTGGCCCCCTCCCCAGGACCATCCCGTCGCCGTTTACGTCATCGGGCCCTCCTCGGTCGGCAAGTCCACCGCGTCGGAGACCCGTCTCCAGGACATGGGCCTGGACGAGAAGGAGCGGCGGCGAGCCCGGGCCGGGGGGGGAGTGAAAAGGTTGCGGGCCTTCTCCGAAGGCTCGGACGTCCCCCGGCCTTCTCAGAAGTTTTCTCAGCCCTCCCCGAAGACGTCGAAAGTCACTCCCAAGGCCAGAGGGCTTCTGAGGCCCCGCCGCCCTCTGAGGCCTTCTCCCTCTCACTTCCCCTTCGCGCTTGCCGCCGGAGAGGAGGCCGTAGTGGTGGACGGGGACATCTGGAGGAGTCACCACTCGGGATTCAATAAACTGGTGGATTTCGGGAAGAAGTACAACTGTGTCTTCAAGGGTGCGTGGGACGGCGTGATCAAGTATTCCAAGGCGGAGAAGAAGAAGCTCTTCGAGTTTGCTGCTGATCCCGAGTGCCGGCGCAACATGATTGTCCCAGAGACGTGCTCGACCTGGGAGCGTTGCAAGATACAATTCGACCGGCTAAAGAGTCAGAACTACAAGATCCATGTGCTCTCCATAATCGCGCCTCGAGAGGCCGCCATTATCTGTTTCCTCTTCTCTATCTCTCTCTGTTTTTTCTCGGGTGGGGGACGACGACGATGATCGAGGGGCGAGGAGGAGGAGGAGAAGGAAGAGGATAATTCTGATGATGAGGATGATGATGATGATGATGATGATGATGATGATGATGATGATGATGATGATGATGATGAGGATGAGGATGAGGATGAGGATGAGGATGAGGATGAGGATGAGGATGAGGATGATGGTGATGATGGTGATGGTGATGGTGATGATGATGATGCTGATGCTGATGCTGATGCTGGTGGTGGTGGTGGTGGTGGTGAGGAAGAGCAGGAGGAGGAGGAAGAGGAGGAGGAGTTGGACGAGAGCGAAGCTGAGAACGATGAGGAGTGCTGTCTTTCCTCGTGCCGCGAGAGGACGTGCTCGCACGCGGCTTGGCCAGGGCGGACAAGACGGGCAAGCATTACTCTGGCGCCTACGTGAAGCCGGTTGCCGCGATGGTCCCCGTGATGTCGCTTGCGAACGGACGCCAGGGCAGCGAAGCCCTCCTCGACCAGGCAGGCTCAGTATCGTTTAACCGATCCCCATCCCCATCCTCATCCCCATCCCGAGCCCCACCATCTCACCACCCCAGTTGGGGATATACCCCTCGAAACCCGAAGGGAGCAGCCTATATCCCCATCTAGGGGGATAAACCGGCCAGTGGGGCCGAGCCCACGCTGGTGGGGATGGGGATCTGTTAAACGATGGTCATACTCTCGGGCCGCTCAGGCTAGGCCACGAGACCCGCAGATGACGACTCAGGAAAAGCAATCTGGCCTGGATGAAGCCTGGGGTCCAGGACGGATCTCCACACGGACCCCTTCTCCAAGTTGGAGATGGATGTGTCGCTCGAGGGAGCTTCAGAGCGCACCATGGTGGGACCCGCTGCCCCTCAGGGATCCCGAGTGGTTTCTGCCCGTTTTTCACGTCAGCCTGGCTGCGCCTCATCCGATCTCTCTCCCCCTTTCCTTCCCTTTAAATACCTTCAAGGACCGACCACAACGCTGCTTAGCTTGGTCTTGGCCCTTGTTGTGTTTTTCGGTTCGTTCTTCGTTGTTGTTTCTTTTCGTTGTTCGCTGTCGTTTTGAACGCCCCGTTGTGTCGTTCGTTTTCGTTTGGCACAGGCTTCGTGTAAACGTTCGTTTTGAATGTTGGGCTTCGCTTCGTTCGTCATAAACGGCAATTCGTTTTAAGCAGTGTTGTGGTCGGTCCCTCAATACCTTCACTAAGGTGGGCGAATCATGTTATCTTGCAGTCTCGGCTGCCCCGAGGACAGTGCGAGGTGGTGGACAACACGAAGTTGCCGTCAACGACCCTTATGAAGCACGACTGTCCCAACTCCAGGTCAGAACACTTTTAAAACACAATCCTCTGCGTGATCGGTTTTCGCAACCACCAACCATCCTGTGGTGTTGGGTCCTCGTTTTGAAGAGACGGTCCCCGCGTTCACTCCTCCCGCTGCCCCCTCCCTCCTCTCATCATCATCATCATCATCATCATCATCATCATCATCATCATCATCATCATCATCATCATCATCATCGTCATCGTCATCGTCATCGTCAGCGTCAGCGTCAGCATCGGCATCATCATCATCATCATCATCATCATTATTATCATCATCATCATCATCATCATCATCATCATCATCATCATCATCATCATCATCATCATCATCATCATCACCGCCATCGCCCGTTTCAGCACACCGCTCACACGTTTCGCGGCCCCATAGGGAGCCCCCCCGAAGGCCCCACTGCCAGCGTTTGCATGCGGTCACCGCACCCATTTTGGCACAGCCCTCTCGCGTTCCGTGGCCCAACAGGGAGCCCCACCGAAGGCCGAAATGCCAGCGTTAGTATGCGGCCACCGCACCCATTTTGGCACACCCCTCACACGTTCCGTGGCACCATAGGGAGCCCCACCGAAGGCCCCAATGCCCGCGTTTGCATGCGGCCACCGCACCCATTTTGGCACACCTCCCACGTTTTGTGGCCCCATAGGGAGCCCCACCGACGGCCCAAATGCCATCGTTCGCATGCGGCCACCGCACCCATTTTGGCATACCGTTTACACGTTTCGTGGCCCCATAGGGAGCCCCACCGAATGCCCCAATGCCCGCGTTCGCATGCGGCCACCGCACCCATTTTGATACACCCCTCACATGTTTCGTGGCTCCAGGGGGAGCCCCACCGAAGGTCCAAATGCGAGCGTTCGCATGCGGCCACCGCACCCAGTTTGGTTGAGCACTCACACGTTCCGTGGCCCCATCGACAGCCCCCCCCGAAGGCCCCAATGCCAGCGTTCGCATGCTGCCACCGCACCCATCTTGGCACACCCATCACACGTTTCGTGACTCCATTCCACATGCGTAGTAGTCGTAGTCGTAGTCGTAGTAGTAGTAGTAGTAGTAGTAGTAGTAGTAGTAGTAGTAGTAGTAGTAGTAGTAGTAGTAGTAGTAGTAGTAGTAGTAGTAGTAGTAGTAGTAGTAGTAGTAGTAGTAGTAGTAGTAGTAGTAGTAGTAGTAGTAGTAGTAGTAGTAGTAGTAGTAGTAGTAGTAGTAGTAGTAGTAGTAGTAGTAGTAGTAGTAGTAGTAGTAGTAGTAGTAGTAGTAGGTGGTAGTAGTAGTAGTCGTAGTGTAGTAGTAGTAGTAAGTTGATCGTAGTAGTAGTAGTATGTAAGTAGTCGTCGTCGCCGTCGTCGTCGTAGTAGTAGTAGTAGTAGTAGGTAAGCAGTAGCAGTAGTAGCATAGTAGTAGTAGTAGTAGTATGTATAGTAGAAGTAGTAGTAGTAGTCTCCTGGTAGTAGTAGTAGTAGTAGTCGTAGTAGTAGTAGTAGTAGTAGTAGTAGTAGAAGCAGTAGTAGTAAACGTAGCAGTCGTAGTAGTAGTAGTAGTAGTAGTAGTAGTAGTAGTAGTAGTAGCAGTAGTAGTAGTCGTGGTCGTAGTAGTTGTCGTAGTAGTCGTAGTAGTAGTAGTAGTAGTAGTAGTAGTAGTAGTAGTAGCAGTAGTAGTAGTAGTAGTCGTAGTAGTAGGTAGTATTAGTCGTATCAGTAGCAGTGGTAGTAAACGTAGTAGTAGTAGTACCAGTAGTAGTAGTAGTAGTAGTAGTAGTAGTAGTAGTAGTAGTAGTAGTAGTAGTCGTACTAGTAGTAGTAGTCGTAGTAGTAGTAGTCGTAGTAGTAGTAGTAGTAGTAGTAGTA